CTGGATACAAACAGGTGGAATTTACGCAGCTCATTTACACACTTTTCCTGAAGATAGAAGAGTTTGTTGAATCTGACGTGACGTTCGTACGAACCCTTCATACGAACAAAAGTAAGAGAAATTTAGGATAAGAATACTAACATGTTCTTGCATGAGGCCCATTGTGTGGAAGTTTGGGGTAATACATACAAAACTAATTTACAGCCGTTGTGCATAATACAAAAAAAAATCAATTCGAATACTGTATAATGTGGGATATTGGGAACATACAAACCCATTATTTTTCAAATCAAATGTATTGAAATTCTGGGACCTTGTAAAATTTAAAACTGCACAATTTATGTTTAAAATAAGAAATCATCAACTTCCACACAATATACAAAAAATGTTTTGTGACAGAGAGGGGGCCTATAATTTAAGAGAAAAAGGAAAATTTAAAAAACAATGCATTAGAACAACTGTCATGGTCTAACTATTTATATCTGTTTCCCCTTGACACTGTCCATCCTGTATCTTTCTGATAGCTCATTACGCTCTCGTTTTCTGGACAACAGGACTCCACAATGGACTGGTGGGAGTCTGTGATTGGCTGGACAGTACATTTGGCAATCTGTGATTGGTTGTAAACTGTCACATGGTGTTGACATGATGTATATCATTGGCTGAATTCTGCTGATGCGCCCAGTAGCAAGCATGCAGAACCTTCCTGATTTTAGTTCTGTGTGTTTGTTGCTCACAATTAAATCATATTTGATTATCATATACGCAGACTTTTCTCGTATTATTCCAACGTGTTTCTGCTTTTGCGACGACAACAACCAAAAAGAGTTTTTGTTTATCCGTGTGTGGGGTAGATTTACGGAATGGATTAAACGATGAGCTCAAAAAAATTACAAAATTAAACCAGCTTTAAAAAAGGTTTAAAAAGGAGCTTACTGGGAAAAATGTTATGTAGGATGAGTGTCTCAATATTATTTATATTAGAAATGTATAAATAATTGTACATGTAAGGATGAGAATGTAATATTTAATGCTCATTCAATGTGGGAATAATTTGTTTATCTGGTGTGAGAACATTTAAATGTTATGAGTTGACAAGGGCAGGAAATCAAAAGATCTTGTATCTTTTACCTGCTCCTTTTCAAACAAATAATGTAAAAAGGACCAGCCTGGAATGGATTATTAGTTCAAAAAAAAAATTGATGGTTTCTTTTAATCTTACTTTTTTATTTTGTTTTATTGCGTAAAGATCATTATTATTAGTAAATTTATTTGATGGAGGAAAGGGACAGATATTTCTTCTTTCTGCTGCCTTTTATTTCATTGTATTAGTTTTTTTATTTTATTTTTGTATTTTTTATTTTTCATTTTATTTTTATTATTCTTTTATTTTATTTTTAATGAAATGAAATGAATAAATGAAATAAATGAAATGAAATTATTCTGTAAGACAGAGGAAAATAAAGATGGAAGAGATTCAGGATTATGAGGATTAAGTTCTTACTCTCTATACCATACGTCAGAACAAGATCAAGAGTGTGATGAAGYGAGTGAGTAGGTCTGTGGACATTTTGAGTAAAACCAATTGACTCTATCAAATTACTAAAAGCTATGTTTAAACTATCACTTTCAATGTTTTATTTATTTTTATTTAAAAATGTATTCATTTAATTTAAAAACAAAACAAATGTTATACATACAACAAATACAAAACACAAATAAAATGAAAGGTAGCAGAAAGAAGAAAAACAATTCTTATTAATATCTGCCCATTTTTTCCAAAAAGTAAATAAATTCAAACTATAATAA